GGAAGGCCCTCTATGAGGTGGATTGATTCAGTAACTGGGGTAATCAGGATGGGTGTGTCGGAGACAGTGCGACTGGCACAGGACAGAGCAGAGTTTAGGGCTGTTGTACATAGGGTTGCTATGAGTCGGAAGCAACTCGACGGTACAAAACAACAACAACAACCTATCCTGATATTGCATTTGGTTTATTATTAATATCAAATTTGACATTTGGCTTTCTACATTTCCCCTATTTTGTTTAAATCATAATTTTGTGGTCATCAAGACGAGCATGATTTCTTTTCTTCAGGATTCATTCTTGCTTGTTTTTTGTTCTCTTCATCCTTTATATATAATCAAACAAATATAACTGATTAAGCAAAATATGTTCACAGAAATACTTCCAAAACTCTCTGTATGATCAGAAGGATTCCGGTTGGCTATTCCTTGAGAGTCTATGTTTTTATTGTCATATAGCCACATTCCCTGAGGGTCGGCTTCCATTGTCATATTGCCATAGTCCCCGTCAAAAACAGTTCTGACTGATCTCCTTTGTCAGAATGTCCTTTGCTATTCCCTTTTACTCCTCCCTGAGAGAACTACAAAGGAAGAAGAAAAGACCAAAATGGATGTCAGAAGAGAATCTGAATATTGCACGAGAGTGCCGAGAAGCCAAAACAAAGGGAAGAAATCAAGAAATTAAAGAGCTGAGTAGAAGATTTCAACAGGTTGCTTAGGAAGACAAGACAAAATATTATAATGAAATGTGCAAAGAGATGAAGTCAGAAAATTAAAAGGGCCAAACTCACTCAGCATTTCTTAAGCTGAAAGAAATAAAGAATAAATTCAAGCCACAAGTTGCAATGTTTAAGGATACTATGGGCAAAATACTGAATGATTCAAGAAGCATTAAAAGCAGATGGAAGGAGTATACAGAGTCACTGTACCAAAAAGAATTGTCTGACACAGAAGAATTTAAAGAAACAACATATGATCAAGAGGCAACAGTGATGAAGAAGGAAGTGCAGGCTGCTCTGAAGGTCTTAGCAAAAAATAAAGCGCAAGGAATTGATGGAATACCAATTGACATATTTCAGCAAACAGAGCTGCTCTGCATATGCTCACCAAGTTGTGCTAAGAAATCTGGAGGTCAACTGCTTAGCCAACTGACTGGAAGAAATCCGTATTTATTCCCATTCCTAAAAAAGGTGACCTGACAGAGTGTGGAAATTATCAAACATTATCACTATCACACACTAGCAAAATCCTGCTGAAGATTATCTAGAAAAGACTTGAACAGTACATTGAGAGAGAATTCCCTGAAATATAAGCTGGGTTTAGAAGAGGTTGTGGCACTAGGGACATTATTGCCAATGTCAGATGGGTCTTGGCAGAAAGCAGGGAGTATCAGAAGAATGTCAGTGAGTATCATTGACTATGCAAAGGCATTTGACTGTGTGGATCTCAATAAATTGTGGCTAACCTTGAAGAAAATGTGGATCACTTGATCATGCTTATACAAAACCTATACTTGGACCAAGAAGCAGTCCTCAGCACAGAGTAAGGAACCACTGCATGGTTCAAAATAAGGAAAGGAGTGTGTGGAGGATGCATCCTATCCACATATGTTTTCAATCTGTATGCAGAACAAATCATTCTGGAAGCAGGGCTTTATGAGGAAGAGTGTGGCATCAGGATTAGAGAAAGACTCATTTAGAACATAGGATATGAAGATAACACAACCTTGCTTGCTGAAACTGAGGAAGATCTGAAGCTCTTGCTGCAAAATGTCAAGGACTGTAGTCTTCAGTATGGACTGAAGCTCAACATCAAGAAGACAAAAATTCTCAGTACTGGCCAACTGGCAGCACCGTAATAGATGGAGAAGATTGAGGTTGTTAGCAATTACAGCTTGCTCGGATCCACAATCAACACTCTTAACACCTGCAGTCAGGAAATCAAGAGGAGACGAACTACATCAGGGAAATCTGCTGTCTTGGACCTCTCCAGAGTGCTGAAGATCAATAATGTCAGCCTAGATACAAAGGTACACTTACTCCAGGCCATAATCTTCTCAAATTACTTGTTATGCTTCAGAGAGTTGGACAATGACTAACGATAACAGAAGAACAATAGATGTCTTCAAGTTGTGGTACTGGAGAAGAGTCTTAAACATATCATGGACTGCCAAGGAAACAAATTGGTCTGTCTTGGAGAGGGTGAAATCAAGTCTCTCCTTAGAGGCTAGGATTTTGAAGTTCTGCCTCACTTACTTTGGGCAAGTGACCAGGACAGATCAGTCCTTGAAGGACATCAGAAGGGTGACGGACAGAGTAGGAGAAGAAGACCCCATATGAGATGGATTGATACAGTAACTGAGGCAATGAGAGTTGGTGTGTCAGAATTAGTGAAACTGGATCAGGACAGGGAAGGGTTCAGAGCTGCTGTACACAGGGGTCGCTATTCATCACAGGCGACTCAATGGCACATAACAACAATAAAATATTATGACAGGTTTGGAAGCAGGAGTGGCATCCACTTCATAAATAAACATGCCTCTAGAAACTCTGTGAACTTTGATAAATGGTAATGGCTAGAAAGGGGCTTCAGGCCTTTCTTCATAGGGTCACTATGAGTCATGCTTGACTCTAAGGCAATCAACAACAACAAACTGTCTCTTACTTCATCGTTTCTTCCCTTCATATTGGCTTTTCTGTATTGAAGAGTAAGTTTCAGAGTCTCTTCTGACATTTGTTTTGGCTTCTTCTTCTTTCTTTCCAGCCTTTGTAATGGCCTTTTTCTTTCTTCATAGATGATGTCCTTGATGTCATTCCACAACTAAGTCACAAGTCTTCAGTGTCCAGTTTATCAAATCTATCTTTAAGATGATTTTTAAGTTCAGGTAGGATAAATTTCAAGGTTATATTTTGGCTCTTTTTGACCGGTTTTGATTTTTTTCCTGTTTCATTTTGTATTTGTATATCAGTAATTGATGATCTATTCCACAGTGGGTCTTCTGCCTTATTTTGACTGCTGATCGTGAGATTCTCCACTTTCTTTCTCAGATATAGGCAATTTGTTTTCTATGTATTCCAGCAGGTGAGGTCTATGTGTATAAAATTATTTATGATTTAAAAAAAAATTTGTAATGAATCAATAATTCATTGCACAAAATTCTATTGTGGGATCCCTGGCCTCATTTATGTCACAAAAGCCATATTTTCAAACTACTAGTCCTTCACCTTGGTTTCTAACTTTGCATCCCAGTCACCAATTAATATTAATGCATCTTGATCACAAATTCAATCCATTTCAGACTGTAAAAGTTAGTAGAAATCCTTGATTTATTTTCATATTTCATTTTAGTGATTGGTACATAGATTTAAATAATTATTGTAATAACATATTATCTTTGTATGTGTATGGACATTATCCTATCACTTGACATTATTGCACTTTAGGATATCTCTTGAAATCTTCTCTTTGATTATGAATGCAAGGCCACTCTTCTTAAATTTGTCATTCCCAGCATAGCATAATAAATCATATGATTGGTTGCAAATGGCCAATACCAGCCTGTCTCATCTCATTCATGTCTAGGATCTAGACCTCTATGTGTTCCATTTCATTTTGTACAACTTCCAATTTTCCCAGAGTCCTACTTCATAAATTCCATGTTCTAGTTAAAAATAGATGTTTGCTGTTATTTCTTTTTCTTTTGATTCTTGCCATATCAGCAAATGAAGTCCTTCTCTGGGTAAAAGCTTTCTGCTACCCATGGCATTAGGGTAGATTCTGTTTTGAGCAGGCAACTCTTCCCTCGTTGCATTTTGAGTGCCTTCCAAGCTAAGGGGCTTATCTTCCAGCACTATAGCCAACAACATTCTTCTGTTATTCATAGGGATTTTGAAGATCTGTTATTTCAGAAGTGGATGGCCAGTCCTACTTCTTAGTACATGTTAGTCTGGAAGCTCCAGTGAAGCCTCCACCATAGGTGACACTTCTAGTATTTTTTTTTTAATTTAGGTTGTTTATTTTTCATTTCAATGAACATCTACAGAGATTTTGGGATTCCATTCATTCATTGTTGCACCCTTCTCCCCGCACAAACCCCTCCCCCCTCCGTCTAGTATTTTAAATACTGATGGCATAGCCTCCAGCATCGGAGCAATACACAAGCTGTCATGGCATGGCAAACTGATAGGTAAGTGGTGCAGCTGTAAATTGACATACCTCGAATTTGGGTTGGCTAGCTCCCGAATTCTGGAAGAAAGTTTGGAATGGGTGGCAGCATAAGATACTGGCCAGTAGACATCACGGGCTGGTAAATAGTCTTCGGGAAGAGACTTGCCCTTAGCTAGAGCTGTTATTCGAGGACTAGCTGTAGCTTGCATGGCAGCAGTGGTTATCTACAGTGGAAACAAAGACACTCAAAAATATGCTCCAAAAGGCACTACACTTTGGCTATCAGTACTGGCATATCCTTAGTCAAAATATTATATTATCCATAGTAAAAATATTTTCATTTACCGTCTATATCACTGCAACCAACTCCTAACTGGGATTGTTGCTCCCATTCTTGCTCCTCTGCAACCTATTCTTTGAATAGCAGTAACTTGGGGAGAGAATGAAGCTTTACTGTGTATGTAATTTCAGCCAGACATTCTACTAACTGCTTTACCAAAGTATGCTCTCTTGAAACCACTTACTGTCAAGTCATCTCCAAGTCATTGCAACCCATGTGTTTCAGAGTGGAACTGATATCCACAGAGTTTTCAATTGCTAGTTTTTCCCAGTTTGATAACCACATCTTTCTCACAAGACATGGAGGCCTCAAACTTCTAGATTTTGGTTAGTCTGAGAGCATCAGCTATTTGTACCATTAGAATTTGTGCCTTCAAGGCAGGAAAATTGGAATTCAATTCTTGGTCAATGACCTCAAATATGACCAGTCTGTCAATAGCTCACACAATGCTATGATGCTGGACAGATTTCAAGCGCTTCCAAATGACAATGGGCTAGTAGGAAAGACCTGACAATTACTTTGAAAATCAGCCACTGATTTTTCCCCCCCATCACAAATGGTCTAATCTACAACTGACAGGGAGGATGCCACTCACTCTTTCTCATTGCCATCAAGATGGTGCTGACTCACATCTGACCCTTTACAAGGTTTCTGAACTTGTAAGTTGCAAGGGAGTAAATGGCTCGTCTCACTCCAGAGCCATTGGTAGATATGCACCACCAGGGAGGTGTGGCCTTTGAGTTAGCAGCACAACTCTCCTTATGGACTAAGCTACTAGAGCTCCCTACCGTGGCTGTTCATGGGGTGCCCTTGAGTCAAAAACTGACCACACAGCTGCTAACGGCACCAAGCTCACTTATTCATCATGAGAACTCTATGAAGTAAGTACTTTCTAATGCCTACCTCCAGTCATGTCACATCATCCCCATACTTTAAAATGTTCATGTAGCTTCCCATCACACTAAGAATGCCAATCAGAATCTTCACTAAAGCCTACCAGGACTCATATGATCTGCTGGCTACCACAAGTCTCTGTCTCGTTCCTTTCTCCATCTCTTTGATCAGCAAAGACCCAGTGTCCAGAGATCTCTCTGGCCAGCTCTTTCCATCTCAGGGCCTCTGCACTGCCTAGTCCTGCCTGCAACTTTGTCCCTCACTTTTAGCATGACTGGATGCTTCTCTTCCTTCAAGTCTCCATTTAAACATCACACATTCCGTTCCTCTCTGACCAAAGAAGAGAAATCAGCCCTTTCTAATTACCCTCTTCTACAGGACTTACTTTAGCTCCTTCATAGCGCTAAGCCCTAATATCTGAATTATTGTTGTAGTTATGTGCCATTGAGTTGCCTGCGACTCATAGCAACCCTATGTACAAGAGCCCTAAACACTGCTCTATCCTGTGCCAACCTTGGTGTCTCCAACACACTCATTTCCACCGCCCCAATCACAGAATTGATCCATCTCATCAAGGGTCTTCCTCTCCTGCGCTGTCCCTCCACTCTCCCAAACATGCTGTCCCTCTCCAAGGACTGGTCCCTCCTTGCAACATCACTTATTTAGTGTCTACTTCTTCTCAAAAGAATATAAGTTGTTTGAGAAAAGTACTTACTTGCCAAATTCTAAAATGGGCTCTGTTACGTAATTATTTTTGTTGTTAGATGCTGTTGAGTCTGACTCATAGTAACTCTGTGAAAAAATGGATCTGAACCCTATTCTGTACCTTCCTCATAATTGCTGATATATTTTAGCCTATTGTTAAATGCACTGGTGACCTAGTGGTAAGAAACTGAGCTGGAATCCCAAAGGCACATGGCTCAAATCCAACAAATCTCTCTTCTGGAGAAAGATGGGAAATCTCCTTCCGTGCAATTAAACTACCTCAGAAAACCCATTGTAGGATCAGCTATGTATCAACTCCAACTCAATGGTACTCAAAACAACAATTGTTACCTGCAGGAGAAGGATGAACAATCTCCTCCCACGTGATTTATTGCCTCTGAAAACCCCTTGTAGGGTCTGCTATGAGTCAACTCTGATTCAACTGACAGACAACAAGAACAACAACTGTTACATTGTACGTATGGAATAACTATATATTGACTAACTGTTTGGTTCTGTTTGGTCTTACTCTAAGAACACCATCTGTCAGACTATCTTTCTAGTATGTTGTTTTATTTGGTAAAATATTAAGGGTGACATTTAACTATCTTAAGTATTCCTTCAAAAGAATTAAGATGAACACTGATCTGGTAGCCTAGAGTGCTGGGAGTGTTGCATATCCAAAGGCCTCATCTCCCAAGCATTCCCCATCCACTCGTGGCTCTGGGAGAGAAAGATACGCAGTCTTCCTTTGTACAATGAACAACCTTGGAAACCCACTGGAGGGTCAGCTGTGAGTATGCAGTAACTTGACAATGAGAGTCAGAACACGACTCAAGAGTCCTGAAGGGTTTCTATATTGCATTGGTATAGATTTGTTTTAGGTTCTAAGAGAATGATCGACAGTGATACCACTATTCTTCTGAGACTTTCAGTTTTTCTAATTCTCAGCAATTCTAGTAATTAAAGAAGAATACCTATTCTTATTTTTACATAACAAAACCACTGGGAATAAAATTATTTGATGGGAAGTCACAAGGTAAATCATTTCAGCAAAACCAAGACACTCTCCTAAACGTTTTATTTACCAGCCTGATTTTCTTTCCTAATCTCCAGTAAGACCTATTTGCATAATAGATTCTCAAGTTTCCACCCCACCAAGACTCCCACAGTGGTTCCCAGAGATTGGTCTTACCTCCTTTGTCATTGTCCAACTGGCATAGGGTACAAAGTTGGGAGAGAGTGTCAAAGAGGAAAGGGAATCATTTAATGTTTCAGGCTCTGTGCTAGGCCCTTTACCTGCATTATTCATCAAAATAGATCTCTGTTGTTGTTGCTCTGTGTGCCATTTAAGAATAATCAAACTGTGAAATGTTTTTGTCAAATCTAAGACATAATATTATTGTTGTTATTCTTGTTGTTGTGTACCATAGAACTGGAACCAAGCTATAGCTGACCCTCTGGTGGGTTTTCAGAGACAATTAGTCACATGGGAGGAGACTGCCTATCCTTCTCCTGTGAAGTGGCTGGTGGATTTGAACCACATCCCTTAGGGATTGCAGCACAGCTTCTTACCACTAAGCCACCAGAGTTCCCGCCTTATACAGACCTCTGAGTAGGCATTATATCACTGCTCTCCTCTTGCTCAACTTCCTCTACCCAACTTCAAGTTCACCTCAACTTTAAGCTGTTGGCTTATGTTCTTTCCTTTACTAGAATGTTCTCCTCCCAAATCTTCACATGCTGGCTCCTTGTCATTCTGGTTTCAGCTCTCAAATGTCCCTTCTTTAGTGAGGCCTTACGTCAAGTAGAACATATTTCCTACCCCCACTCATCGTCATGTCACTGTCATCGTCTATCTTATGTTGTCGTTGGATATCTTGAGTTGAGTCAATCTTGGCTCCTAGCAACCACATGAGATGGAGTAGAACTGCTCCATAGGGGTTCCATGTTACAATCTGTACAGAAACCTATCACCTGGTCTTCTTCCTGCATTGATGCTGGGTGACTTCAAACTGCTAATCTAGTTTTAGTCCAATATTTAACCATTGTGTCGCCAGAGCTCCTTATGGTCTTCATACTGCTTATTTTAGCAGACGTTACCCCATCTATTTACTTATTTACTGCTTGTCTGTCTTCAGCAACACTAACCACCGGGGTAACAGTACCAAACACAAAGCAGACATTAATAGCAGTTGAATGAAGATCAGGAAGATTGTGACTGTCCCGGCATAAGTGAGGTATAGTAATGATGAGGCTTGTATTGAGCTCAGCTCTTAGTAATTCTAAGTTCATGCTCTTTGCCTTCTCTCTTTCCTTTTTCCCCTATCAGGCAGGTTAAGTCTTTTTTCCCTTGCAACAGACTACTCTTTTAAGATTCTCTTTTCTGATGACTTTGGGCTATTCCCTGTAGAGGCAAAGTAACACGTTAGGAGCAAGAAGTAAGTAAACTAAGAATGCCAAGGCAGTGATATCTTACAGGGCGGATAGGCACTTCACTTCTTTCTCTCTCATAGCACAGACCCTCTAGCTTGATCCTTGGATGAGCAAGGTCAACAATTCTTGGGCTGGCAATAGCATTCAGAGCAGGATATGAAATATTCGTTCCAATCTAGAAAAGAAAAAGAAAATACCTATGAAGCTCAAACAACAGACATGGTGTAGATCAATGTTAAATAGTATAGGCTGAACTCTGGACCAGATGTCACAGCAAAAGCAGTAAAAATGATGAGAATCTTGCAGTAACCTAGGATCACAGCAGAAATAATCAATTTATGTTTTTCTCAAACAAGATTTATATGGACATTAACCCAGTTTTTCAGATGACAGAGATGAAATTTCAGAACAGATCATTCAGGAGGCTGAGTTTTATGAGGAGGAATGTGGCATCAGGATTGGAGAAAGATTATTCAACAACCTATGTTATATAGATGGCACGACCTTGCTTGCTAAAACTAAGGAGAACATGAGGCATTTGCTGCAGAAACTCAGGGACTTCAGCCTTCAATATGGACTGAAACTCAGCATTAAGAAAACAAAGATTCTCACCACTGGGCCAATTGGCAGCATCATGATAGAAAAGATTGAGATTGTTAGCAACTTCAGCTTGCTTGGTTCCACAGTCAACACTCTTAGCACCAGCAGTCGGGAAATCAAAAGACAAATTGCACTAGGTAAATCTGCTGTCAGGGACTTCTCTAAAGTACTGAAGAGCAATGATGTCAGTCTGGAGACTAAGGTGCACCTAATCCAGGCCATGGTCTTTGCAATTACTTGCTATGCATCAAAGAATTGGCAATAACTAAGAATGAAAAAGACTGATGCCTTTGAGTTGTGGTGCTGGAGAAGAGCGTTGGACATACTGTAGACTGCCAGAAGAACAAAAAAGTCTCTCTTGGAGAGGGTAAAAACAAGCTGCTCCTTGGAGGCAAGGATTTTGAAGCTTCGTCTCACATACTTTGAGTATTTGGACAGGAGAGACTGATTCTTGGAGAAGGACATCATGCTTGGAAAGGTGGAGGGACAGCATAGGAGAGGAAGACCCAGGATGAGATGGATTGACTCAGTGACTAGAGAAATAGGATTAGGTCTATCGGAGATAATGAGATTGGCTCAAGACAGGGAAGAGTTCAAAGCTAATATGCATGAGGTCACTATGAGAGACAGGCGATTTGATGGCATCTAACAACATAACAAGAGGGAGGAAATAGGTGATAGCTGACTCAGTGATAATTAATGATTCTGATTTTCAGAGTGATTAACTCAGCCATGAAGAAAGGCTCAAACCTAACACATGAGAATGCTCTGAGTGAAGAGTTCTGCTCGGTGCTTTGTTATTTTTCACCCTTTGCAAATTGACTTCATATTATCATCATGCTTAAAGTGAGTTTTAGTGGCTCTCTTCTAATTGGAATAGACAAGGAATGAGGAACCACATAAAACAAGAAAGGTGAAATCACATGCCTGTAAAGACAATATTGTTCTAGTTCCCTGGCCGGGCCTCACTCTTCTAATTCTGGAAATCTGTTCAGTTTAATGGTGTTCTGTTACAGTTGCTTAAATTCAAATTCAGTGTTTGTCGCAAGACTTTGAAGGAGAATATAAACAGTAATTACAAATGAAAGAAAGTTTTCATCAAAACTCAACTCCTTGTCATTAAGTTGCTTACTCTGGACACATTGGGAAAGGCCAGTTGCTAGAAAAAGAGAACATGTTTGGTAAAGTGGAGGGTCAGTGAAATCAAGGCAAACTCTCAGTGGAGTCCTAACAATGGATTCAACCACAGCAAAACTCATGAAGACCCAGCAGGATCGGGCCACACTTCATTCTGTAATAGATAAGACCACTGTAAGTTTGAGCCAGCTCCAGGGAAACTCACAACAGGTAACGATGTCAGCAAGGGTGAAGCAGAAAAGGCAGCCCAAGTAACATAAGTGAATATTGAAATAAAAATTACCTATTGGGAAATACGTCTTGACACTTTACACGTCACTTCAAAAAAAACCTTTATCTTTGAATCAGTAATTTTACTTGCTGAATTTTTATTCTCAGAAAATTACGACAGATCAAACATGATGGGAGGGACTTACATATTGGTAGATTGGCCTCATACTTTGGGACAACAAGCTGAACAACGCTACACAGGACATCCCACAGTATCTGCTCAATATGAAATATGAGACTTAATTAAGAGACTTTAAAATTTCAAACAGGTTGATTACTCTGAGTAGGAATTATCACTATCTGGAAGCAGGACATGAGTAATATCTATGAGTTAAATCAACTATGAGGCTAACCTCTTTTTAAGTTTTGTAGCCTCTGACAAACTTATTACAAAAAGAGATTCAGTATGATAGACATTCACAGAGGTGAGAAGAATTGTTCCAGGTCATCCATCCAAAGCCTTCATGGCAAGTTATCTATGACATGATTTTGGCTTCCTCTATGGGCATATTTTTTGAACAAATCTTTAGAGAAGCTAGGCTTTATGAAGAAGATTGTAGCATCAGGGTTGGAGGAAGACTCGTCAACAACCTGCATTTTTCAGATGACAAAATCTTATTTGTTGAAAGAAAGGAGGAACTTTGAGGTGCCTGCTACAGAGGATCAAAGACTGTAGACTTCAATTTGGATTATATCTCAATGATTTAAATTGTAAAAAAAAAAAAACACCAACTTTGTTCTCTTAAAAAAAAAAACAAACCCCCCCAAAAAAACTTTGTTCTCTTAAAAAAAAATAAATAAATAAATTGTCAATTATTTCATCTTTCTTGGATCCATAAACAACACCGTTGGTTCAAGGATTCAGGAAATCTGGAGATGTATAGCACTGGGAAGGTCTGCTATCAGAGACCTCACTAAAGTCCTGAAGAGCAATGGTGTCAGATTAAAGACTAAGGTGTTCCAAAAGATGGATGTAAATCATGAATAAAGTGAATACCCCAGAGATATGCAATCACTGATGTGGTGTTATGTGAACAGCTATGGAAAAAGATGCAAATTATGAAAGAAAGAGTGAAAGTCATAAATAAAATGACTACTCCAGAGACAGAGCGCCCGGAGAAAAAGATGAATGTGAAAGCACATGAACCGTTATGAAAGAAACTGCAAAAGATGGAAGAAATTCTCACCACTGGGACAAGTGGTAGCACCATGATAGATGGAGATAAGACTGAGTTGTTAACAATTTCAACACTCTTGGCATCAGAGGTCAAGAAATCAAAAGATGAAATGCACTGGGAAAATCTGCTGTCAGGGACTTCTCCAGAGTGCTGAGAAGCAATGATGTCAGTATAGAGAATCTCGTACAACCCATAGTGATCCTACTAAAAATATATCTAAACTCTGTCTATCCTGTGCCATTCTCACACCTAACACATTAGAGCCCATTGCCACAATCACTGTATCAATACATCTGGTTGAAATGGTGGTATATTCATATGATGGAATACCATGCAGCACTCAGGAGTAATTCTTTTTAAAAAATACTAAATAACATGGAAGAGACTAGAAAGCATTATGCTGAGAGAACTAACTCAACCTCATAAGGACAAATAGTGCATAAGACCATTGTTGTAAAAATATAACTACTAAGATGTGGATAAAAATCCAAAAGGGTAAGGGGAAGCAGCAGGGGGGGCTGAGGGTGTAGAGAGGGGGAATCTTAGGGTCACAGAGTTTGACAGGAAGAAGGAGGAGTGAAGGAATTGGGATGGATCTAAATAGGGACCTGAAAAGACAAGGGAATAGTGGGACTAGTTCAGTAGTGACTAATTTTATAAAACATAGTATATTGGAAGGTTTGTATAAAACACAATGTAAATGAAGGAATATGTGAAGCACAATGAACATGAATCAAACACATGTTAACTAGTTTTGTGTGCAAACCAATATAAAAAAAATAATTTTTCAAAAAGAATGACTCCTTGCAAGCACATTGGCATTTACGTATAGTTTTACAGCTAAAACACATTTCAAAAATTAGAAAATGCAAGAAAAAATTACTATTCATTATTTAAACTAGCAATATACATCTAAATAGTCTTTTCTCCATATATAAAAATCAAGCTCAAGGATACAAAGAGACTCTCTTTACTATATTTAAAAGAAAAGAAGCTCAGTTCACTGCTGTTGAGTCAGAATTGAGTCATAACCGACCCTCGATCGGGTTATTCTAAGGCTTTAATTCACACAGGAAGAGAGTGCTCATCTTCCTCCCTTGAAGCCACTGGTAGATTCAAACCACCAGAGGGGCGTGCCCTTTGGATTAGCAATGCAACTCACTATCAATTCTGTGACACTTCGTTAAAGGTGGAGTCTGTGTCTCTGCTTCTTTGAATCTGGACAGATTTACAATTCTACCAATTAACAAAGTATGAATGCATAAACATTATGTGATTTCCAAAATAAAATCTTAGAACATAGCTACCTTATTGTGAGGAGTGCAAGCTATATAGAGAGACCACATGGATTGTTCTCCTAGGTAAATAACTTCAACTAAGTTCAATCCAAGTCATTCCAGCCTAGGTACCAGAAAGAACTTTCAGATGAACATTTGAGATGTCACTCTGAAGAGTAAGAGGTGCCTCACTCAAGCCATAGTATTTTCAACTGCCTGGAATAAATGCAAAAGCTGGACAATTAAGAAGATCAAAGAAGAACTAATGCCTTTGGATTATGGTGGTGGCAAAGAACATGAAATATATCACAAATTGCTAGAAGAATAAATAAATTTGTCTTGGACGAAGTACAGGCAAAATGTTTCTTAGATGCAAGAATGGTGAAACTTCATCCCACAAACTTTGAGCATGTTATCAACAGCAGAGTTTCTGAAGGAAGACACCATGCTTGATATATTAGAGGGCCAGCAATAAAGAGGAAGATGTTCAACAAGATGAGCTCACACAGTGGTTGCCACTTTCCTACAGTGGTGACACTTTATTATGATTTCAAACATAGTAAAGATTTGAGGATGACATTGTTTCATTGTGTTATATATAGCCTTTCTGTGAATCAGAACTGATTAGACAGTATCTATTCTCTTAATAGTAGATTTGGACATGCTGGGCATGTTGTCAGAGGGGCCAGTCCTTGGAGAAGGACATCATGTTC